GAGCTGCAACAATTCCCCACCACTTGACCGTAGAACGTTTGCACGAACGGCGCGCGGCACGTTGCATAAGTGCTTCTCTCCTCGCCTCGATCCCGACCTTGACTTTGACTTTGACTCTTGATTACGATCACGACCACGACCAAGTAGCGGCGGCTGCCGACATACGACACATGGTTTCGCAAGACGCGTATGGGCGGATAGATACCTCCACTTTGCTGGATACCTGCGTTGCATCGCGGCTGAACGACTGCGAAACTGCGAAACCGCGCCATGTACGCGAGATAGACGTGCCGCTAGAGTCCAGTTCGTATTGAATACAGTGGACGTAATTTAATCTAGGTAATAGCGAGAGCGAGAGAGACAGAGAGAGAGAGAGAGAGAGAGAGAGAGAAATAAAAGATGAGTATTTATTATTCATGACAGCAGGAAAACTTTTGTCATTACTAGAGTTGTCTTTCACTTGAATCAAACTTCTTATCGAATTATAAGAAAATTCATCTAAATAACAGATAGACGAATAATTTATACGCAATCATTTTATTAAAATTATAAGTTTGTTTGTCGTTATGACGTTATACGATTGGTTTCCAATGTGTGAAATTTTTTTGTGAAATTCATGGATTTTTTCTGCCGAGTGGACTGTTTTTTTTTTAGTGGCCGTCTCTTAAAGCAAACTGCGGTATCTCCTTCTGACTTTTTTGCAAAATAATCGCGCAAAAAAAAAGAAGGGTAAGAAGTAAGGGTACCAGGACAGCAACGGTTTTTGAAAAAAAAATAGGTAACTGTTTTGCATTTACAGCTATTACATTTGTGTAAGGACGCTCGCACATTTATGGTAACCAACTATCTTTAAAAAGAGAAAGTAAGTTCCCCTTTTTTGATTGAACTAAAGGGGTGATACTCTGGTGTATAAATTCGAAAATTTTGTTATAGTGAAAATTATTCTGTAGTTTTATGTTATAAAAAAGTATCCTAAAAAAAGTATTTTGTGTGTGTGTATATGGAAAATATTACATATATTATTAAATAGAGAATGTTTAAAAAATTGAAAATTTTACTTTTTTACTTGGATAATTCCTGCTAATAACAAAATATCTATAATTGTATAATATATATAATCATATAATTTTCTGTTTCAAACAAGAATTTTTCCAAAGATATAACAAGACATATATACTTCAATGAAAGCAAGATTTTAGTGTTAGTAAAAAATGTTGAATTGGAATACATTTGACACTAATTAACTTAATATATCTGCAATTATATTCGTAATTACGATTAGATTGCAGCAAAAAGGGTAAGAAAATGTTGGTGATTATTATTAATTGTTAGTAATTCGCGGAATGCGGTGGGAAATATCTCGCGAAGTATAATCCTGTCGTAGCATCATTTTTATACATAATGATGTATGCACGTCAGAAAAAATACAAATCAGTTGTTTGAAAATACGCGCTATCAGAAAGTATTTTAAAAAATATATAAATCCTACCATTTGCAGTAAGTTTAGAAACGTCTATGATTTTGTCGCCAAGAGTATCTTAGTAAAAAAACCGTAGAGAATGTTTACACTTTAAAGAGGAAAGATATAAAGCTGAAAGATCGGTATTCATAGTCGATTCTTATATCTGAAAATGTCGTAAGCCAATCAGAGAGCTACATTAGCATCTTAAAACATTATTTAAGACGTTCTTGAAGTAAGAACGGACTATGAATATCAGTCTAAATCTGTCTTTTAGTTTGTGTGATATTTTGTTCCTAAATTATATAAAATTAAAGATATTGATAATTTTTAATATTTCTTTCTTTCTCCACTTTCAAGCGCTGTAGCTTGATGAAACATCAGACAAAAATTAATAATGAAGTAGTTTTTTTAAGCTTCGAAATATTTTTTTAAATTAGTGCGATAATTTTTTATAGTAACATTGAACTTTTTGTGTGACAATTTATTTTTTATAAAATGTTTTTAAACTTTGAAAATAAAGAATTTACGAAAAAAAGAGAAATGTTTATTATAATAAATCGTTTAAATTTTTTAATAATTTTTAAAAAACTTTTTTATTAATTGTTTTTATTAAAAAAAATAGATTTCTCTAAATTCTTGAACGGTATAGTACATGTATGCTATATATATATATATATAATATATGTATATAAAAAATACCCCCCAGTCTTACGTAAACTTATTACATAATTTATTCTACACGTGCCGCAGTTCTTCATCACGGCTATTTAGAGCTGTTGGAATATTGTACAATGTCAAGGATTATCACTCATTATGATTAACGATTTCAGTTAACGAATCTTGATGACTTATAAATACTATTAGGAAAATGAGCGTGATATTAATGATTGTACAAGTTCCGTAAAGAAATCTTTCGCAATTGAAAATTTTAAACGAGGTTAAGAAATGGAAACAGTGAAAGAACACAACATTATTTTTTGTTAATATATATTTAAGTTTATAATTAACAGTTCATAATCAACAGATATATTTAAATCAACCGAATATTTGTGTTTATTGTGTCTACCGTTGCAATGCGAGGAGGATATGTTTTATGCATGATCGGCAGACAGATGAAGAAAGAGAGAGATAAAAAGAGAGAGTGAGAAGGGAAGGAAAAGAGAAATCGTGAAAGATAAATAAACCACTGATCTCTTCTTTAAAACGTTTCACTGCGCTCTACCTGCCCTTTATGCCTTGACTGTATAACAATAAAAGGTACACGATCACAGCTTAACGCAGCAATTTATAAACGCAGTGTCATTATGAGCTGTACTTTTTTATTGCTCAACAACCTTAATTGAAGTTCGTTTAATCGTCGAAACATTCAATTATTTTTTTTAAGAATGCGAAGACTTTATCAGATTGAGAGCGTTGTGTTTATTTTATATTACATGTTGCACAATAATTATTACGTATGAAATTTAATTATAATCGGGTTTATACGTCGAACTTGAGTTTTATCATACTGTACGTATCTATATGGTACAGCCATTAAGATCGTGAAAAGAAATCTTGTAGGCGTCTCGATCACATTCCAAGATTTCCTCTAGTGAATACTTCTCCCGTGAAGAGGGTCAAAACGTCGTAAATGTTTCGCTCTCAAAATTTTTTTTTTTGTAATCTTCGGTAAAGATCGAAAGATAATTCATGTGGGATCCATGAGCATAACTCAATGTCCGGATTGAAATAAATATTGGGTCTGAGAAATCTCGACCGCTCTCCCGGAAACTATTTTTCTTTACTGGAAAATCGAAGTGATTTCTTAGTTAAAACTTTAAAATGTCTCTTTAAGTATATAAAGCTCACGACGTACATGCGTTATTTCTTGGATTGCTTGCGATTTAATAAATTACTAGAATTACATAGAACACAAAATTTCCAGTAATTTTCTAAATCGCAAGCAATCCAGCAGGAAAAAATGCTGTAGGTTTAAGCATTTCTTTTACAGTAAAAATACAAACACTTAAGAATGTATGTATCACATCTCAAAGCATTATAAAAATATAAAAATTTCATAGACTGTTCTATTGTTACATTTGAGTGTAAAATTTGAGCACAGTTCTCCTATTTATAGTATAAAAGTTATTTAATTTTTCTGTCTTGATTTTGTAAAATTGTGTTTTATAATAGTTATTTGCAAATTTGCTGAGAGAGAAAGATTGTAAATAACATTACAATTCAAATTAAATTTTTTATATACTAATAAAATTTTAATAAATATTCGTGCAAAAGTTCATTTATATCTATTTATTCGTTCAATAGTTATTTACTTAAAACTGCAGCGAAATATAGCCATTATAAGTCAAATTTGTTTTATTTTTGTTTTCAAAGTGTATTTACAAAATCTTTTGACTGATATACTAGCTTTGATATGCTATTTTTTGATTGTTAGTTAATAGTATTGACTGTTTCTGATATTTTGATCGATGATTTTAGGTGATATTATATAGCTAAAATATCCTAAAAGTACGCTGCTCTTTGATATCTCTCTCTCTCTTGATCTCTTACAATTAATTTTATATCTTTAAATATATTTCATTACAAAAAAGTAAACTTATTTTAAAACGATGTAATAAGTGTAAAACAAGATAAAAACAACAAGTTCCAGTTGCTTAATTCATTGCTTTCGGTAAGAATGCAGAAGACTTGAGGAGGAAAGGTGCGCGGGAAGGAGAGAGTTGATTACCCGGAAACGCGTTCAACAGTAGAACGTTAATTCGATCAGAAGGTGCAACCGACGACAGGAACAACTAGTTCCCCTAGAAGAAGAGGAAGAAAGAAACAATGCAGTCCCTTAACTAGAAAGAAACGGGGCCCGCGAGGCGAGCTGCACACGGGCGTTCAGATACACACGTACACACGATGCTCCGTTATGCGCATGCGTCAGAAGTGGACCTCATCTCCGAGGACTGCAGGTTTGTGCGATCGGATAGTCCCGCTGGCTGGCTTGTGAGGCCCTATGGTGGGATGAGGAGGAGGGCCGGTGGATAGTGGGGGATTAAAGAGAGTCAACGGGGTCCGCGCGCATTTTGCTCAGCCGATAGACGACGAGGCGTGGGGAGGGGAGGGGGGCAAGGAGGCGGGGATGTGGACGGGAGGCAGAGAGAGGGGCTTACGGGGCCCGGACTACTGAGTTCACTTACTTGCGGACTCAGTAGCTTACGAGAAGCCGTACGATTGAGTTTTCTCGATTGACGGTGCTCGTTCACGGAGCCGCTCTCAACATAACTGTAAATTCGCCCGAGTGAGGGAAGTGACAGACGCGTATGGACCTCAGTGCCTGGAGCACGCGGCAACCGGTCGGAGACAGTGTTTTGGAACACGACACCCCGAACGCGTATCCGAGAACCGAATCGAGTTAGACCCTATTTTTTTCGGGGTGCCGGCGAACCTTTCGCATGATCGGTGAATCCATCGTTGGAATTTTTTGGAAGAAAAGCTCCTCTGCCCGTGCAGAATTCCGTTCTGGAATTCAATCCAGAATCGTCCCGTGTTGATCTCCACGCTGATTTTTGCGTTGGCGTGAGACGCGGAGCAAAGACAGGTAATGGTGAATCACCGTGGCCGTAGCTACAACAGGTGGTCTGTTCGCCAAGTACTCTCGAGTATGACACTGTTGTGTACAAGATCGTACTGAAGATCGTGTTTTGTTTCGGTCCAGACGTGTTTTTGCAGCTTGTGCCGCGATCGCGATCTTGACTGCACCGCTGAGCAGAGAAGCGGCTCGCTTACCACTTCGATGTAGTGGTAGTGCTAAGTGACAACGTAGTGCATCGCTCCCGACGTCAGGTCACGATGCCAAAGATCTTCCTCATCAAGAATCGACTGCATCAACAGCAGTTGCGGCTGTTGGAGTCGCAACATTCCAGCAAGAGTCCACCTCCCGGTAGTGGCAAGGACAGCCCGCTTGGCACCTCGGAACCGTTGAGTCTCATCGTCAACAAGGATCAATGTAAAGTGATTTCTGATTAAAACGGAGCGGAACCGGCATAATTTCGGCGATCTCAGTTTTCTACACTTGTGTTAACCTCTCGTAGACACCCTGGATTTTTTTCTTTCGATCCAAGCGAAATTTCGCTCTCAAATTTCTTAGTACAAATTTCAATTTTTATTAAATAAAAGTTTTAATATTTGAGTTAAATAACTATCTGGCTATGTAGCAGAGATGTTGAAAAGTAATTCTGAATTTTTCTATTTTTTTTTGGAACCTGGGAAAAGGAAAAGAATTTGGGCTGGACAAAAACCGACTTGGAATGCCTACAGTAAATAAATATATGTATGTCTACGAAGGGTTAAATTCGTTCATCTTTCTTTAAGGGCCATCTGAAGGTAGTGCCGAAAACCGTAAGAAATTGACTAATCATGGTCGAATGAGAGGAGAATACTTGACTAATTTGTCAATTTCTTATAGTTTGCTACTTCTATTGTAGGAGTATCATAGACGGTATTATAGACGTTTTTACAGACGATCCTTTATATTGTAAGAGCAGAATTCGTCGAAATTATACCGGTTTTAGTTTCTGAATTGAATTTTTTCTTATCGTCTAATATTTAAGATATCTCAAATTTTGACATATATTTTTTTGACAATTTTTTTGGTCAGTTTGAAGTACATTTTTTTTCTAGAGAAGTTTTCCCACCATTATTTTTTTTTAACTTTTTACATCCGTGAGTGGATCACAATTCTGTGGATTATATAAAGTAGGACTGTTATATACTTTTAACAACCTAAAAGATCGTAACTTAGAAGAAATAGAAATTTTGAAGTTAGCTTCGTATTTTTTAAGTTTAAGATGCCTTTGAAGCTTCAAAGGCACTTTAAACTTTGAAGATTTGGAGTTAATTTCAAAGTTTCGATTTCTTTCAAATCTTCAAATATTCGAAGATACTTTAATCTTCGAAGATTTGGAGTTAATTTCGAAGTTTCGATTTCTTTCACAACTTCGATTCTTCGAGTTATCAAAAGTAGCAGTTCTTATAGCATAAAGTCGACTTCAAATTTGAGTTTTCTCTGCAAAATTAAAATAAAAGAATTGAAGTATCGCTGTAGATACCTATAATGTACGTAATCAAATTAAATTAATTAATCGAATTGTGAAGTTCGTAATATTATTTTATAATTATCGATATAATTACTGTATTTCGATTATGAATTTTTACGCATGGGATCTTTATGTACTTATACGATGCATTCATTACGGAGATAAATGGAGAACAAATTAATAAAGCGCAAGACAATTATCTTTTCGGTATTGTGTACACAGTAATTTGACAAGCCAATTATTGGATCGTTATAAAGTCGCGTAAGTCGCCACGGTGTAAAATTAAGATACTGATCTCAACAGTTTAATTTGTAATATGCAAACCGTCGATAACATGGAACGATCGGAGCTCACAAGTGCAACTCTGTGGCTTCCTTCTCGTCGTCCCTTTTACAGCGTACTTGTCGAGCAAGAAAGCAAATAAAAGAGGGAGAGAGAGAAAAAAGGGGCCTAAAATGTTACACTTCTGCTGCAGGTGCGATCGTATTTTGGGGTACAGGTGCGATTGCATTTCGGACATTTCGGTTCCGGACGTTATCATGCAACGCATTAACGGGCTCTTTTACTTTCGTGAATCGCATTATGCTAATTACTCGCGTGTACATATTTTTCTCTCATTATACAGTCCTCGCGAATTTAATAGCTCGTGATACAGCAACTCCTCTTTCCCATCGCATTTGTATAAAAAATTACCGGACATTATCTCTTTTATGTCTGTTTCCATTAATGTAGATTAACTTTACGTCTCGTTTCAACTTACTTTTCATCTTTTTCTAATTCTTAAAACTACAAAAAGATTAATAGTAAGTCGAACTGCACCGAGAGAAATGTTTGGTATGAACAACTATAATTTTGTTGATACTTGACTTACTAAAATTTTGTTTTAATTTATAAATTGTTACTAAAATTTTACGTTTTAATTTATAAATTGTTTTATTCTAATTAAAATTTTGTTATTCTATCAAATTCCTATTAGAATACAATTTTTTAAAACAAAATTTTGGTAATTCATATATCAATAAAATTACGATAATTGTTTATACCAAACATTTCTCGCAGTATAGGATTAAAGTTAATTTATGTTAGAAGCCATTGAATACCCTTTTCGGCCATTGTGTTGTACGTGGACATTTCTTTCTCATCTCGATGTTTCTCTGTGATTCATTTGTCACGCGCTTTTCATCATAGCTTGACATAATCAGCGATATGATGGTTATAACACGGAGAGAAAAAAAAAGTTTCTTGTGTCGATCTGTCGCTCGGCACCGAGTAACGGCTGACCTTTGGCAGTCGGCGAACTTGTTCGCGTATCTGCGCACGCCACATATAGTAGTTAATTACATGAGTGCCACTTGTGCACGAACGCCTCGCGCGATTGCATAATGACGTTTACGTCGTACGAACGGTTTCGTCGAAAACAACGGTCATCCTTCCGCGCGTCAGCCGTGCCGATGAGGAACGGTATAGTGAGTGAACGGCCGTAAAGCACAATTGCAATTTGCACGTTGCGGATGTGCATGTACGACGATCACCTATCGACGCAGTTTCACCAAGGTCGAGCGAGTTTGCACGACACCGATACAGAGAATTTCGGAAATTTAACAACAGAACAATAGGTTATCGCAATAATGCCAAAATGACATTGAAATGAATCGTTAAACTTGAGACACAATTGAAAAGCTTTGAGAATAGGAACAGGGAATAACAGGTTACTATCTATCAGAATATTGTATTCTAGTATATATACGGTTTTTGACAGGTTGATATTTGTTATTCCCTGTTTCTTGCTTTTGAATTGTGTGTTGAGCTTATCTAATTGAAAAATAATTTTTAATATACTTCGGGAGTTTTAATTATCATGCCTTTTTGTTCTGCTTGGGGAGTTTTTTTTTACTCCAAGGGCAAGAATCGGTATTAACGAGGTTTTTTACGTTATATAATTATTTTTGTCTCAACACCTCCAGATGCACTTATTGTTATCGCGAGTCGTTACGGATGTAATGACTTTTTCGTCGTTTTTAGCAGCCGTAAAGATAAACCGAAGTTTGACTAATTGCGTGAAAATTGGCGTGCTCGACGAGTCGTTGCTACATAGTTTAGTTACATAATTCACTGCTGATTTTTCGTTTGGGCATATTAGTCCTCGGGCGACGGTCTAGCCGAGGTCGATCACGGGTGGTACTTTTACAACGGTATAGTGAGTAGGTGGAGGATGTAGTCCTAAAACTGGTTTAGGAAAGTGACCGGGGCGGTTCCTCCTTTATTCCTTTTCCCCTTTTTTTTTGTGCAGCGCGATCTCGCTCCTCCGTCTTTTCTCTCCGTCTCTCCCTATTTTTAATTCTTGTTTTGCGTCAGGCTCCTGCGCTCACGAGACTACGAATGATGCGCAAAACGCGGTGTCGATGGCCTGTTACTGGCGATCACCGTGCCTTGCAGGTGCACGCGTTATTCTTTCTACCTGTTTTCTTCTCAGCCGGTTTTTTTACTATTAATTATAATATATGTTAATTAAACATTTATATTATACGGAAGCGACTTATTGTTAGCGTCGTTCTAAGCTCTGGCTGCCTTACTACATATTTTATCACAATAGCCATTTTTTGAGGCGTGTGACCGACGCATCCGTTCAATTAATGCGACGGTGTCCAATTAAGTGATTCATCTTTTCTCGAATTTAATGGTCGCGTACAAATCACCTCATTAGATATACGTTGCTTAGAACCCTTTCGTTCGTGCGGCAAGTGCGGCTTGATAAATATCATCGCGATGATAAATATCGTTATCCTTGACGGGGAAGAGAAGAAGATTCATCGTGCGAGCGAGCGTCGTCGGTCGAGAGACAGTCGATTTGTTACGTAAACGAGTATGTCTCCGCGTGTATCGTGCACGCGCGCGCGCGCGTACGGAGTATTGGTTTTATTTGCATTTTCCGCGTTGCCGATCGAACGGAATCCAGACTGATGCGAGATCGTAATGGTACACCGCGCGCGCTGTTCGTATAACGTTTCCTGCACTCGCGCTGCAGCGAGCCGAGCGGCAATGGACGGAGTCGACACGTGTATGCGTTCCGATGCGCCACGACGCGCCGGACCGGAGATTTCAATGCTCATCTAAGCGATGCGTCGCGCTTGGCCGTCGCGGCGGGGATAATATTTTTCGTCTCCCGACGATTCTCATTCTCTCGGAATATTCCCGCGGATGCGTTGAAAAAGAGTCTGGTAATAGCTATTAAATGTTGAGTGAAATAGTCTACTCAAATGTTCGATTAATATAACTAAAAATGATTTTTTACTTTCCTAAATGTTTAGTATTAGACTGAAAAAAGGAAATATTGAATTTTAATTAATATTTGTGTGAATAGTTCTAAGTAAATATTTATTAAATATATATATATATATTTATTTGATATAAAAATTATATTTATTTGATATAAAAACCATTAATTTCATTGTGTGTGTGTGAACTGTCATTTTTTTTATTGAGAAAATAGTTATTTATTTGCTGCAAATAAATGTTTACTTGGTACTACTCAAACATCATTTATTTGAAAAAAAATCTGAATATACGTATCTAAAATCTGAATATCGTACTGAGAGTTGTATTGAAAAGTTAAATTGCTTTTTTTAGCATTGAATAATTTGTCTAAGTTTCTAGTAAGAATTTAATATAAATAGGCACGACAGAGAAGTTATTAACATCAAGGTTGTATGGTTCAGTGACAAAGATGAATGTCTAACAATAAGAAGAAGACTTCGTTTCGAATTCCGAAGTGCCCTGATATTTTTCTCGTGTTGTCGCTTATTTCTTACACTATATATAGATACGGATCTAATTATTGGAGTAGTTCCTCTATGTGTATTTTTCTTATATTTTTCTCGGGAGATCGAACAGTCGTAATTTCCCTATTTTT